TCCTCAGCTCTCCATCAAGGTGGCTCTTCACAAAATTAATCCACTTCTTCTTGATGTAATCGTTTTTCAGAAATGTAAATAAGGACACCGATCTGTTTTGTACTGATCCGGTGATCGCATCCAGGTAGTAACGTTACGCATTTCCGTGACAAAGGCATAGCTAGCTAGCAATCTGTAGGCCGATACTAATAATAGTACTGACAGTAACTCGCGAATGAGCGGCAAACTGATGTGAATGTGCTCTATAATATTGTTAGGAGCGGCCAGCCTCAGCGGCTTTAGTGCGTCATCAAGTAGGGGCGTGTCCAGGAGCTCAGGGGCTCCAGTGCGTCATCGAGCCCTGTTTTAGCCCCGCCCAGAAAATCCCGAAAATAGCAATGGTGAAAAACTGTTTAACGGTCTAACTCCACAATTCAGTACTTCACAGTTCACAGTCTTTGTAATATGTTTAATCAATACATTTCTAACATTTATAATGTGTTTAGAATTTTTTTTTGAAATTGCCTTTACAGGGACTTTAATTAAATAGCAAATGCATTTGTGCCCGTTTGTGCACCCATGGGCCACAGGTCCAGCAGGTCTGAAAACAAGGTGTGTTTAGAGCGCATTGTTGACGCGTTGCTATTTTGAGGCAACTGAAATAGACTGTGCCATTGACCAACTGAAACCTGGTCTTAATTTTTTTGTTATTTAAAGAGCACGTTAGTAATGTGAGCCTATAGGCGGGTCTACAACACACGCACATTCTGCTTATTACACACACAGGCATGTGCAGCAATAAGTCTCTTAAAATGTCAGATAATTTGATTTGTAATGTGGTTCTCCTTTATTTGTGGACACTTATATTTGTCATTGACCCTGCCACAAATTTGAAAGCATAGAATTTTCTAGAATGTTAACATTTGTTAATAGGAATTACTGGAATATCCATATTCATTCATTTCAAGGGGTGTTCACATACTTTTGGCCATATCTGTATGTTCATAATGCTTGTTTGGAAAACAGCGTCGGGCCAGCCAAATTGGTGTTGATCCTTAATTTATTGCCCAATGGTTTATTAAGATTGTTCTAGGATTATGATATATTATTACGGTAACGCTTCCTTTTACAGTACTTACGTGTACTTACAGTGTACTTACCTAGAAAGTACTGGCTAATATAAGGTAAGTACATGGGTTAGGGGTAGGTTCAGGGTTAGTACCTAGTTATTACCCAGTAATTATAATTACTATAATAAGTACATAGTAAGTACATGGGTAACAGGACTGTAAAAGGAAGCGTTACCATTATTACATGAGTGAATTCATTGTACCCAAGTCCAAGTTTTCGATATTGCACCATTTTTAATATGCGAGTTTTAACAGGAGCTCAAATACTCCATATTGAGCATATTCAGTTTCATCAGGATATTTAACTCACAGCACCACTGGAATGGTTAATATAAACACAAAATAAGATACCATATGCGAGATCTGATCAGTTTATTATTACACAGTAAAAGACACATAGTTGATGTATTTGTATCTTTTTTTGACCTCTCAGCACAGAAAGAAACCCCACACATATACACAGGTATATATGTATATGGGTTCAGTATAAAGTGCAAATCAATCACAAATTTCCATCAGGTGTAACATTAGGGAACAAATGAATTGAATAGAATGCCTTGCAAAACAATCTTTTCCTATTTTGGTTTCATACTGCATTTTAAAAGGAAAATAAAACAAACAAACATTGAATCTTAAGATTTGAACATAAACAGGAATATGAGTGATATAAGTGGATTCAAGTTTTGAGAGGAGAGAGTACCATACAGTTTAGTGGCTTGTGTAGCCTATAGTCCTCAGGGCCCTGGATCAAAGAGGAGAAATCACCAGTTTTTGGTGAATCAGAAACAATGAAGGACCTGTTTAAACACATCACTTCTATTGCAGTGCATCCTGATCTCTCTGGTTATGACTTAAAATGACAATATTAACTAAGGAATAAACTAACCTGAAACACATCTGGGACAATTTGATCACACAGAACGTCAATTTCCAATCATCCCCGCTCACTACATTCTAAAGTATTTCTATTGCGCAGGCAAAGAACGTCAGGTTCAATTCTAAGTCTTGAAGTCTAGATGATTCCTTGAGGCGGTGGTTATATAAACTTTAAATTTGGCAACAAGAAGGGTCAGTCTCCAAGCTCTGCTAATCCACCATAAATCGTGATAAGGACACAATGCTGTTCAAGTTCAAATGACTAGAGGGCTGCACTAAACTTTCAGCGCCGTAGGCACCCCTTTGCACCAAATACAGACATTTGATAAAATATACATTCTCTGAAGTTGTACAAAATCCATTCGAACTTTGAAAATTCTCTGAATCACAATGGTAAGCTACATGACAGAGGCTTCGAATGAGAAAAAAAAAGCCTTAAATCCACAGCAGTCGAACAAATGCAATGTAATAATTTAACAAAACAACACACATTTACACTAACATTTCCCTTTGATTCAGTAACGGAAGTGGTCGGTACAAGAGTGGCCAAACCTTCCGAGCAGCGTTGCCGTAAATCAAACTTTAATGCTACTTAAGAGTAGGTCACGAGCATATTTTTAAAGATGAAATCAGATGTCTTTGAGCTGGCTTGAGGCGAACGTCTGCACTCGCTGCTGTTTCTCTGGAGATGGTATGGACACCTTGTTGCTGAGATACCAGAACTGCGGTTGAAAATGGTAATGCATAATTGAGTCACTGGTCATGCTCATGATGATTCGCACACAAACTCGATGGGGTTTTAAATGAAAAACAGCTTCAACATGAACACAGTGGGGTTGGAAATCAGTTTAGCAGCTTTGCTTGGTACAGGTATGGTGTTTAATAGATTGCGATATTATCATAGCATATTTCCCCAAAGACATAAATCCTCACTTATATGCCACTACATCCCTGCCTGTTCAACAAGAAAACAGCAGCTATTCTGGTGTGTTTGAGCAGAATCTGATTATGCTTCAATGCCCTTTAATAGTGGTCCTATGAAACAGAAAGTGCATATATTATTATAACCACACACAGCACACACACACACACACACACACACACACACTTAACCATTTTGGCCAGAAACGGGGAAGTCAAATAAAGAAGGGGGGGGGGGGGGGGGGAAGGTTTGTCTGATTTCATATGGGTGAAAAAAACAAAAACAAAAGCTACTGTTTAAGTCTCAGAACTTAAAGGCCCCGTTTCCGCTTGGGGCTCGATAGCATGGATTTTAGTTTGAAACCTTTCTAGCGATTATTGCATAGTTTGGTGAATTACTTTTAGGTTTGTAGATCATTTGGTTTAAGAAAAAAACAGTCATTCTGCCCCTCCGGTTCTTCTCTCTCATTACTCTTTGGGTCCAATTCAATCAAACTGCTGTATTATCACCACAGTAGCAATATGGCGCCAGCGTTAGTTCACCATAAAACAAGCCGGTTAATGGTCAGGCTGTGTTTTTCAAAAGAATTAAGGGATGCAGATTGGTCCTTTTAACGGTTAAAACGCTCAGTGGTGAAATGGCTTCTTTGCTAAGGAATTTATTTTTGGACGGGACTGCCGAAAAGTGGTTTTGCGGTAGTTTGATTGGATTTGGCCCTCGCTCCTCAGTCATTCCCAAGCCAAACGCTGCCCTCCAGTCCTTGCAAATCTGAACTTCCCCAAGAAGCACTTACAAAAGAGATCTTCCCCATTCACCCTGGGAGAAATAGGCCTTTCCGAAACGTTGTATATTGCATAGTGTCGGGAATGGCTCGGGAAAACACTCTGCCCCAAATTAACGTACGATGGCTGAACCGCATCGCCCTCCAGCGCTATGAAATACTGGATTTGTCAGTTACTCCGTTAAAGCTAACGATATACTCTATATAGCTGATTAACCCTGAAAGTATACACAGCATGTGGCAATGCTCAATAAACTTTTGACAAAGTTTGTATTATAGTGGTCCCATATAACATTCGCCTGACTCATATGACCAGCGTGTTCCCCCATGACCAGCACAGAGTCATTACATGGGTCTTGTACAGTCAACTCAGAATGACTAAATAAAGTGATTGATTAAATGTATTTAAAACAGCTCCCAAAAACGGACGCCTTAGCAATTAAAAAGCACAATATCTGTAAACCGATGCTTGCTGAATGAACTAATATTGCCCACAGAAACGTAATAAAATAAACATTTAAATAATATAGTAAGAAAATAAATATCAATAAGTCAGTTAATTAATACGTTTTTAAATAGACATTTAGAATATCTTTTTTTTTGTTTTTTTTTTATTTTTTTATTTTCCTTATGTTTTGTTTGTCGTCTCAGCGATGCTGGGAACAGCGCGCTTGAACTCACTTCTGCATGTCATATTCACCAGGGAGTAATTTGTTCATCTGTCCAATAAAGTTGGCCAAATTATGCGTTTAGACGTAGCGCTAACAGGGCTTCGAACTGAATTTCCTCTCAGAGTTTATTTGTACTACTTGAACAGATCATAAGTAGAGAGACGATCTAAGAGTCAAGAAAATGTGGGAAAAAGCTAAAGAAACGAAGCCGAAGGAATGTGAGGAGAGGTTATCTCTCCCTTCCTGTGCATGTCTCATGACTCATTTTATAAATAATGACTGGTCGTCCAGTGTGGATCGCTGACATCTACTGTTGCTGTACTCGATGCTTATGATTTGCGGCGTTTGAAGTGAACTTCAGTTTTTTGGTATTTTAATGAATTCCTGCACATAGATCTTTAAAGATAGCTCTCACCAAATGGGAGAGTTTCACAAAAAGGCTAGTGGCAATTTGAGATTAACAGCTAAAGTAGTAGTAAAATATCTGTTAATAAATAAATAGTACACTCTTATTTCTATAACACATGCCAACTATTTCACATCAACGCTAGATTCAGTTTATATACAGATACATTTTCGTTGCTGTAATCTCTGTAAGATATATTTCATATACAAATGGCTATTTATCGTTTTTTTAAATATTATTTTTCTTTCGTTTCTAGAGATATTTTCACGGAAATAAGTCTAAGAGCTCTCTACATTATGGCCTGGATGACTCCCGCTAGATTTCACGACGACACACGGATCGGTCTGTAAACCGGGCCGAGTTCCCCTCGAAATAATGCGCAAAACGCTTTTCATCGAATATGAAATGATAAACATAGAATTTGACATTCGAGATGTTTTCGCACTGGTGCATGCCTTTTTCCAGTTGAGAAGGAATGTGTCCCTGTATAGCCTTGGAAAATAAACCACTGTTTTGTCTTGCTTTCTTTTCTTTTTTTTTGGTGTGTGTGTATGTGTTTTCACTTTGCGTTTGTGTATGTGTGCTCGATGGCTAAGTTTGGACTGGCAAATTGGTCTGAAGTTAAGAGCTGTCACCAATGTTGCGTTTCTTGCCAAAGAGATTGGAGGCATCTCTGTTGCGTAGATTTGGCTGGTGCTTGTATTCATGGGGACTGACAGACCACCGCCACCCACCACGAGTCTCCATTCCAGTAGGAACTGCAGCAGACGGACACGGCTTGTTCTGCAGTAGCTGGAAGAGCATGGTGATCTCGGGCCCTAATCGGGTCAACAGATTTGCCCTCACCAGGTCCACTGTCTCATCGTCACACTCCATCAGACTCTGCAGTAGTTTCCCATAAAACCTGCGGCGAGACAGAGAAAACTCACACTGAGCCGGGTGCGTCAACACATTTGATGGTTAAGCTACATTAGAAAGCTGCATAACGCAGGGAATCTGAAACGAAAGAATGTGCTAAAATCGTTTTTTTTTTTACGATTGATTGCTGCCACAAAATCAGTGGATTTTTCTAGCAAGCTCATGGCAGATAACGATAAAGGCGTATACTATCTACCTCATTGGACACTTGCGGAATTTGCACTATATATATAGTATTATATTTTGAATTGGCAAATTGCAGTTAAATGTTCATGTTATATAATTTGGTTGCATGCATATGTAAGTTAATCTGACTAGTTGTGTAAAATAGGCACATGTGATATCGATCAATATACCCCTGAATCTAAGCAAATCGTAATCGTATAGCGGCTAAGAGAATTGTATCGTGACAAAACGACCGATTTAAACCCTTATCCCTTATATGTTACTGTTCACCACTGCTAAGTCGTACACAAGCAACTCAATTAGGCCTTGGTCAATAATCCTTGTGAAAAACAAGTACACTTGAGCATACTATTTATACTTAAGTGTGTTAATAGTGCACTTTGTACTTAAGTGTGTTAAGAAACATGCAAGTGTACTCTCTTTAAGTTCACTTAAAGGCAGTGTTGGGGAGTAGTTAACTACAAGTAGCGACGCTACTAACTTAACTACATTTTTCAGTAGCTTGGCAGTAGCTCAATTGCTTTTTAAACAGTGTAGCTTTTCCAGTAGCTAACTACTTTTTGCAGCAAGTAGCGGTGTAGCGCGAGCAAAAGCTACATTGCGTGTTGTTGAGCCCATAGACATCATATAGATATCTATGGTTGAGCCTGCACGAATCAGCGCGGTGCAAGGATATTCTTCTTCTTGTTAGATTACAAACTAATTTTTTTGCCATTACCGCCACCTATTGTTTAATCTTGCGGCTAACGGTTCACTGACGTACAGAAGACCTCAAGCAAAAAATTAAGGACGCACATACAGGTGATTAATGGCCATTTGAAATGTATTAATTATCCTGCTTTGTTGCTCTCTATGTTACATCAAATTTCTATTTCTGATTTAATTACATTGAACCCCCATGATCTGTCCACTAGTTTTGTAATGAACATAAAAGACAACTAAAGTTTGCGTCATCGTGTTTGTCAGTTGAACAAAAAATGTAATCTTAGTTTTTTTTATCGCACGACAAAGCCTTTGATCTATTAAATTGGTGTATAGATTTGTTGTGACTGGTTTCAGAGCGAACCGAACTGTGCTCACAAGCAGCTTGTGATTCAGGTTCTTCTTTCACAGTAAATTCTGCGAGCTCCATCACTGCATGTGAGCAAGTTTAACGTGCATTGTCAGTGCCACATGTGAGCGGTTGTTCAATGTATTTTCTTGCCAAAATCCAACCATCTCACAATCGGTATTTTTGAGAAAAAGTCTATACATGCAATTTACGTTGGATGTATATTTTGTTCTTGCAATGTTGTATTTGTTGCAATTTTGCAGTTTTGACACACAGTCTGAGATATTTGAGTGTTGTGTGTAATAAAACAATAAAAATCATAATTGTATTGCATTGTTTTAAACACTAAATATTTTACTTAAAACATTCCTCAGACACTTATTTATAATATATGTTGTTCAAAAAAAGCAAAAGTAGTTTCAATGTAGCTAGCTACTTTTTGATCGTAACTTGTAGTGTAGCTAACTACTTTTCCAAAAGGGTAGCTTGACTGTAGTTTAACTACTTTAACTTACGAGTAGCTTGTAGCTTGTCAAACTACAGTTTGAAAGTAGCTTCCCCAACACTGCTTAAAGGGATACTCCACTTTTTTTGGAAATAGGCTCATTTTACAACTCCCCCACAGTTAAACTATTGAGTTTTACCGTTTTTGAATCCATTCAGCCGATCTCCGGTTCTGGCGGTACCGCTTTTAGCATAGCTTAGCATACATCATTGAAGTGGACAAGACCATTAGCATTTCAAAAAAAAAAATGACCAAAAAATGAGAGCAGCAGGCGTAATGATATGACGCAGCGCCTGAAAATAGGCTACCTTCCGTCAACACAACGGAACTATTTTCAGGCGCTGCGTCATATCATTACGCCTGCTGCACTCATGGTACGGCAGTAAAGTTTCTTGATTATTACGCAGGAATGAGAGTATAGTTCCTAGCCATACCAGCCTAGAAAATCGCAACTTTACATTTTCCATCGGTCTTAGTGCACGATGTAACTACAGAAGAGTCAAGTTTTAAATAGGAAAAATATCGAAACTCTTTGGTCATTTTTTTTTTTTTAGAAATGCTAATGGTCTTGTCCACTTCAATGATGTATGCTAAGATATGCTAAAAGTGGTACCGCCAGAACCGGAGATCGGCTGAATGGATTCAAAAACGGTAAAACTCTTTAACAGTTTAACTCTGGGGGAGTTGTAAAATGAGCCTATTTCCAAAAAAAGTGGAGTATACCTTTAAGTGGCCTTTAATTAGATTAATATTATATTATCTGCAAGTAAATTTTTTTTTTAAATATACTTGTGCACATTCATTACAAATAAAAGTACTTTTGCACAAGGGAATCAACCTTTTCTTCCTCTTGGGAATCATTCTTTAATTCCCAAATTTAGCATAATGATAAGGTCAACAATCCTGAAACCCCTTCTGTGTTTTTGTATATACCATAAGATGGAATTTTTTCATTCTGCTCAAGAGTCTTACCTGTTGGGAAAGTGGCTGGGTAGCTGAGCCACCTCCGCAATGGCTTCTGGGTTTGATTTGGCCACTTTACAAATGTCCAACTTGCTGTAACACTCCTCTTGAACCTCCGATATCATCCTCTGGAAGGTGGAACACCGTCTGACTGTTAGAAAGATCTTGGAAGTGATGCCATTGGCGATGCACTTCAAGCTTTCTTTCACAAAAGCCTTTCCCTGCAGAATGAACAGGAAGCCACATGTCAAACACAGGCCTGAACGGTGACATCAATCCATCTCATGAAACTGGAGAGGTTTTAGTTTTAATTAAGTAGAACCTTGGGAAGTAAAAAGCAGAAATGATTCTCAAACAAGTCATTCTTTTGAACCAGTTCTTTTTGAGGAATCAGTTCATAAAGTAATTTGGTAATAAGAACTTTGCTTGAGGTGGGTGACAAACTAAGGCAACATTTAGTGTGGCATTTTCCATATAAGACAAATCAATAAAGAATGCCGTTATAAATCAAGCTGTAATAACTTTTGAAAATAATAGCTCCCATCAGGCCTTTCAGAGTACAGTCCCATCTCTGTGGAATTCAGCAGCATTCATTTGACAGGATTCATCCAATCCAAGTGCTTCTTAAGTTCTTCCTGTCTGCTGAATAGGCATCTTTGACATCAATAGGATATTGTGTTTCAATCGATGAACTGATATATCGCTATTGTACTTTGCCATGAATTGTATACAAACACATACCTGAGTGTCGAATTTAGCAGCACTGTAGAGAAAGGACTTGCAGATGTCATGCATGCCATCTGTGTCACACGTTGAGTTTTCAAGACAGGCGAAGGCACCGCAGCCCACCTGGAGTGCACTGTTCAGGCAGCGTGCCACATCCGCTGCAAAAAGAAAACCACTGTTACCATTACAAGAACCTAAAAGCATTCTTGACCACATTTATTGTTGGATTGTCAGTGGATCAAATCATAAATGACTGCAAAAATATTTGGCAAGTCCAAACCAGAAATAATTGGAAATATACATGTACTCCATCCATCCATCCAATCCATCCATCCATCCATCCATCCATCCATCCATCCTCTTAATTCTCTTTGCAGTCAATGAAATAAACTAACTTCCTTCTATTACATGGATAGTTCAGCTTGTACACTCTCAAAGAACAGAGACCTGGAGAATAGCCATTTAGGGTTGTTGAGGGAGCAGTCTTTGGAGACGGTTTGGACGTCCAGTGTGGAAGAATGGGGCCGTTAATGCTGGAACATATTCTCATGGGAAATTATTTAAGTAGAAACACATTGTGTGTAGTACCAATGAACTTGTAAAACCATTTAGGCAAGATAATTAACTCCTCACCTTGCTTACAAGTGAACACGGGATCATTTTTAAGGGGACACGTTCTCATTATCACCTTCCAGCCCACGGGATGTTTAAATACCATTCAGTCTGAGGGAACAGTTGTACAAACGGGAACACTCCACGAGTACTAGGGTTTTATGTGTGATATGGTGTGAGTTTCCATTCAGTTCTGATATCAAGCCAAATTTCGTCTTAAAAGGACAAATAACAACAAGCTTGACTAGCAACTTGACAACCTGAAATGTATAATAACTGAGCCAAGCATTGGCGTCATTAATCCACTCCACTCTCTGCCATAAATTTTATGGGTATTCCAGCCATTTTTCTGTTCTTGGAGCTGTGACCCAGTGAATGAAGAATACCCACAGCAGGCCTTGAGGGGTTCTTGTGTCTGGACGTTCTGTGCCCTGTGTTTGCCCCCGTCGTCAGGGACTGAGAGAGAGGGGTGTTGGGCATGTGTGCCACTCTATATTGGGTTCTGCTGACTGTCTCTTTTGGCACAAGACCCATTGTTTCCATTACCCTTACATGTGACAAGACAATAACGTTTGGCGGGGTGAGTAAAAGGGCCAAAACCACCACCTCCAACAGTTCCGCGCCAAAGACTATAAACATTTTGCCGCACAAATTCGTAGCCTGCGGGGCCGGGATCCCATGCCATGCCGAGAAAGAACCTCAGGGGTGTGTGTGTGTCAGAGAGACTGGTGTTGCTACACACTCACTTTTGTGTCTGAAGGAAAAATAGGCTGTGTGTTGCTGTGTCAATGCTCTTGGCAAAAGGCAGACTTCTGAAATAACCAGAAACCCCCCAAATGTCATGCAGTGAATATGTCTATTGTCCAGAGGAGCAGGTTAGGGCAAGATCTCAGAAGTACATTCTGTTAAGGACATTTGCTCAATCTGCACATTAATAGAATATTTCGGGTTCAGTGCAAGCTAAACTCAATTGACAGCACTTGTGGCATAATGTGAATACCACAAAAACAAAAATCAGGGTTACAGTGAGATAATTACAATGAAAGTAAATGGGACCAATCTGTAAACAGTAAAGCGCCACAATGTAAGGGTTTAATCATCCAAGGGAATTTAAGGAAACAAAGTTGTCCAAGACAAAGTTGATACTTCAACGAAACACAACTGAGAACTCTATTTAGTCTTCTGAGCTATGACAGAGTCACAAAAATGATAAACATCTTCGTTTTAACCCCTTAACTGTCACTGCTCACTAGCGGGACGCCTAAGATTACTTCACTGTATTACAATTAAATCCTAATCTAATCACGACAAACTATATATCATTGGAAAGGTCTTAAGACTCCTAAATAGATATTTTAGCACTGTTTTTTGTTACAAATTATGTATAGGACCAATAATAGATGAATTTATGACAAGAGCGCACCTCAAAAAATCGACATCATAACAGGAGTTCTGACCTTTGTCACAAAAAGTCGACGCACACACTTTTAATAATTGAAACTTTGGTTTTCATGCTAACAGTCCATATTAAAACATATAATCTAGTATTTATCAATCAATTATATATATATATATATATATATATATATATATATATATATATATATATATATATATATATATATATATATATATATTATCCTCTAAAATATAATATCTTTATATCTAAATATAATACCTTTTTTATTACATCACATATTTTAGTAGGCCTAGTTATCATAAATTAGGTATCATTTGAAAGCTTACGAACTCTGTGAATCCTGTGAAAACAGTTTTGAAATTGGACGTTGCGTTACCATAAAAAACGGTACTCTAAATTTTTTTTATCGGGCTCCTCCCCTTTTGGGCATCATCATGTTTCATAATTTATGATCAAAACACATTGTCAGAAAGGTCTCAAGGTTCCATATTTTGTGACACAAGTTATTTGGACAATTTTTTTTTAATTTGTTACAGAAGAATGCATACAATTAAATTCAATGGAATGCATGTCACCCGGTGGCTATTTTTGGTATTACGCCTAAACATAATCTCATGGGAACTTACATTTTTGGGATATCAACTTCAAATTTAGAACTTGGTTAGATATATGGCTTTGATTTTATAGTAATTTTATAGTAAAACAATATTTTGTAGAATATATATTTTATATAAAATAAAAAATATTTAGTACAGTATATTTGATTTATTGTAAATTTAAACTTCCATAACTTTTTCATACTTTCATTTTTTTAAAGTGCTTTCACTTCAGCAATAATCTGCTGAGTGTTTTCTTTAAAACAAGACCAAACTTAGGTCTATATTCCATTCCAAGCATTCTTACAACCATTTAAGTTTGAATAGTAAATTTTAATATCCCATTCTCAAAAACGGGGGTGACAGTTTAATATCAAATACAGTTGTATCACTTTCCTACACTCGCTGTTGGCGTCAGGTCAAGTGACGATGAAATGTTTCCATGATTGGCCTCTCTTATCAATGGAACAGTTGTCCTTGTGAATACATGACTAAAAGATTTTCTGCGAAATTGTGCCATGGTGTGCACAAACTCATGTGATCTAACCTGAGGTGTCTTGCTGACCTTAGCCTTTGGGGTGCTTTTAGACTAGTTACCCTTGTGAAAAAGAAGTGTGCTTAATTGCGCACTCATAGTTTACTTAAAATCTTAAAAGTAGCCTATATATATTTTTACTTACTGTACTAACTGTACTTGTAGATTAATACAGTGTCTATTTACACTAGTCAAGTCAAGCACCTTCATTTATATAGCTCTTCTAACAATATAGATTGTTTCAAAGCAGCTTTACAGTGATAATAGGAAATGAATGTAACAGAGATTGTTTTGGCTTTACAGCAGCTCTAGAATAAAGTTATTGTCCAGCTAAAGTAAGTTTTTGATTGATTCACTTCAGTTGCAAAGATCATTAGTTATTAACTTAGGGGCCGCTTACACGACACCGTTTTAACTGAAAACAGAAAACTTTGAATGAGTTATGGCCGTTCATTTGCACGACAACAGTGTTCGGTGGCTCGAGAACGCAAACTTTGTAATAGGTTCCAAGGTGCAAGTTTTGAATTAAAAAAAAAACTTTATCATCTCCGTGTAAACGTCAAAAACATGAATCTGTGAAAACTGACGGCGTGCAGATGCATATTACATGTTTAGTCTATAGGTATGCACCTTTGAATATATATGTGCGCCGGCGCGTAGTCTTTCTTTACAAATTGACATTGCCAAATTACTTGTCTGGCCTGCATAATACAGAATCTTTTGTCATTTCTGCGGATCCATGCGAACTGGAATCATTTTGATAACGTTTTATCTGTACAGAGGTAAAGGGCAGGAGGCCTTCACAGGGGAGGGACTAGTTGACACTTCAGGGCTGCATTGTCGTTGTGTCTAGGCGCAGGTCCTTCATCAGATGTGGATACGGCCTGAATCCGGCGGTCCTCTTTTTAAAAAGAGAGATGTGTTTTTAGTCTAGATTTAAACTGACAGAGTGTGTGTCTGCTTCCCGGACAAAGTGGCCAGAATTTTTTCGCAATAGACGTGAAGGACTATAATTTGTTAAGAGCTCGCTCAAGTACTGGGGAGCTAAACCAGTAAGTGCTTTGTAAGTAATCAGCAATATTTTTCAATTAATACAATGTTTAATAGTGAGCCAATGCAATGTTTAATTTTAGACCAGCTGTAGTTTGTTTATTAAGCGTGCAGGGCAACCACCCATTAGAGCATTACAATAATCTAGTCATGAACGCATGAACTAACTGTTCCGCATTTGTCATTGAGAGCACATGTAGTAATTTATATATATTTCTAAGATGAATGAATGTGGTTTTACAGATGCTAGAAACGTGGTTTTCAAATGAAAGTTTGGTATCAAGGTGCACACCCAGGTTCCTAACTGACGACGAAGACTTGACAGAGCAGCCATCAAGTGTTATACAGTATTTTAGGTATGACGTGCGGAGGTTTTTGGTCCAATAATTAGTATCTCGTTTTTTTTCAGAATTAAGTAGTAGGAAATTACTGGTCATCCAGTTTTTTAAATCAGCTATGCATTCTGTTAATTTTGTGAATTGGTAAGTTTTGTCAGGGCGCAAAGAAATATACAGCTGAGTATCATTAGCATAACAGTGAAAACTAATGCCATGCTTCCTAATGATATCTCCCAAGGGTAGCATGTACAGGGTTAAAAGCAACGGTCCTAGTACTGAGCCTTGTGGTACTCCATACTGATCTTGTGATCGATATGACATCTCTTCGTTTACTATTACAAACTGATAACGGTCAAATAAGTATGATTTGAACCATGCCAATGCAATTCCACTACTACCAACATAATTTTCGAGTCTATTCAAAAGAATGTTGTGGTCGATAGTGTCAAATGCAGCACTAAGATCGAGTAAGACTAATAGAGAGATACAACCACATTCGGTTGATAAGAGCAAATCATTTGTAACTGTAATGAGAGCTGTCTCTCATAATATAATATAATATAAATATAATCATTTACACCATGTTATTATTGCATACCATTTAATGTACAACAACACTGAGGTGCAAATAGTGTCTGTCACTATTTATAAGTATAAATAGCATCTAACTACTATTCACACTTATTGCAAAGAAAATGGTGCTATTTTTACATAGTGAAAGTAGAAGTAAAGTTAAAGTTAAATTACTCTGATTTTGCTACTGTTATTGGATTATAAGAGGGCCCTTTTTTGTATCATCGGACACCCCTTTAGACGTCATCAGTAACCTTACAGGGGAAAGTACGGTTATGGATAAATTGGGCCACACTGTTAAGGGGATGTCCCTTCACTTAAACTGCACATTGCTGAGTAGAGGTGTGAAATATGGGTTTGATATTGCATTTGATGCATAGAGCACTTATTGTATTGCAGTGGGAAAACAGGCATGATGATTAGACATATTGTGACTAATGAAACTTGAATACAGCTTGGCCGACTCACTCTGATAATTTTGAGGGTACAGCGATGGGCCCTGACAGGTCAGGACTCATTTGAGATCCAAGAAAACACATCAATAGACAATGCGCAGTCTTGTGTTTGCTTTCTCTCTTACTCAGTCATGTATCATCAAGTGCTGTAAAACCTCAACTGGGTAAGTTATCAGAGCCCCTATGTACTGTTCTTGACAGGTGATATCACACACACAGACTAATAGGATGAATTGTTGGAATGAATAATTCATTTTCTACACTTGCATAGCTACCTGTTCAGATTTCAACGTGCACAGTGCGTGACCCTGACTTGAACTTGTGGCCCTGAGTGTCAGTGTTCCACACCAGACTCTAATGCATGACTCAGCTGTACCTCGCAGATTTGGAGACGGCACTGCAATTGGCACTGTTTTAATATGTCAAGTAGAGTTCATTAGTTTACAAATGTACTGTAAACTTACTGTAAATTTGCTTCATTGTTTTGGGTATTATGAACTTGATTCTTTTAATTTACACAAACTTAAATTTAACTGGGATTTCTGTTTTCCAGAATGCTTTGCCATGCCACTTGAAAGGCTAAATGCTAAAATTAAGTGTTATATAATGTTTTTGTGCAATATTAATGTTTAGTGGGATATTTAGTAGTGTTTAATGTTTTGCTATGCTATGCTAATTTAGACGAGTTTCTGTTATGTTGGGATTTTTGAAAGGGTTACCACCATTGTGACGAGTGGGGCATGAGCTTGGATTGAGAACAGATATAAGTTAAATGTTTTATTGTGTCATACTTATTCACCAATTGCTATGATATGCTAATGATATCAAAGCATTGTTACCAATTCGCAAGTCATCAATTGCTGAATTTGCCAGTTAAAGTGGGCCAAGTTTCCACAACTAAAAATATTTAAGTTGAGATTACATGATAATTTTAAATTAAATGTGTGAGTAACTGATTACCTCAAATATTTTGAGTTTTGCCAACTTATTCAGGTTTGAAGTGTGGACATTCTTTTCACTATTTGAAGATCCCATTGGTCGTTTCATCAACGGCACTGAGTGACACTGAAGAGCCTTAAAGTCCCCCTGTAGAAGACAATTTTATCCCTTAAAACGCATCTTTTATCACCTAAATGACATATTTAAACGTTTTTTTTTCCTTGAAAAAAAATTCTTCATGCCTTAAAATAGATTTAATGTAACTCTACACCCTCGCCTCATTTAGTATATACGCGGTTCTATAAATATATGCAAATGAGCCCCGCCTCCACTCACTCACTCAGCTCAGAGATCCACTCGTTGACGATCACACTTGGTTACAAGGTAGTTTGTGACGTCAGAAACACCAGCGATTTCAAACCGTGTTTTTGAGACTGTCTTTGGTTCACTGCAGTTTTAAGGAGAACATACTCAGCAATGGCGTCGACTTATGAATTTGCACATGGTTTGTCTTAAAGCACATTAAAAACATTACATAGACACATGAACAACATAAAAACTTGATTTTCACCAAAGGGGGACTTTAAGATAACACGAGATAAATTGCAGTTGTAAAAAAATTAACTCTATAAAACAGGTCTCAATAAATATTTTGCATATGAAGTGAAATGTAAAACAATTTTTTACATTTTTTTTTGGAATATGCCCTACGTATTATGTTTTGCAAAGTATATACTGTTCATTTTGCTCTTTTGGAATTATTGGTGCACCAGTGTCGCTTTGTCTCAAAAGCACTGAGTCAGTACATGTCTCCCTGGCAACTAAGTACAACAGGAAGTTATGCAAATACCAAGTGGAGTTTGACAAAGGTTTTCACGTCCTGACCAGAGACAGAACGGAACTGAGCGTCCCACACCACACACAGATCCACTATTTGACACTTGGACAAGCTTTTCTCTTCAGCATATTAATTACTGACAAAGCAAGAACCCTTTGTAACACTGACACCAGATCTTCAGTTTCAATATAATGAGCAGTAAGTCAGAACGTTTAGCCATAGTGTTGGGCCCTTTCAGGTGCACACAATGTCCTTTAAAGCATCCTACTCCATTAAAGTTAGTGTAAGCGAACCGCACACCCTCCAATTCTCTACCTGCACAATCTTTACACCTGCTGTGGGATGTTCTAAAACACCTGTCATTTTCAAATAAACCAGACGAGCTTGGTTAGCTGGTTCAGGTGTATTTGACGAGAGCTGGAACATGGATAGAATGACCTCACCGGGGAAAGCCTTTTATATAGTGAATCAGCCTTTCACAGAAAATTAGTAATGGAACAATGATGTATATCTATTTAGAAAGCACTGTAGAGATTAAATGTACATGTAATGTTTGTGAAAATGTTCTCTTTTTATTTTTAAATTGTCCTTGGTATAAGAGGGTTCAATTGTATCACCCTTTGAGATTTCACTCTGGTTTGGTTTTGTCCATGTTGAGATTTTGAATGTTCTCCATTTAAAAAAAATAAAGGATTGATAATTCCATGGAACCTTTCCATTCCACAAAAGGTTCTTTAGATTATTAAAATGGGTAGTACTTTATTTTACAGTCCTGTTCCCCATGTACATATTACGCACTTATTATAGTAATCACAACAACTGGGTAATAGGTACTAACCCTGAAACTACCCCTACCCTATAAGCCTAACCTTAACCCACGTACTTACCTTATATTACCTAGTATTTTGTCAGGTAAGTACACACAAGTGCACGTACTGTAAAATAAAGTGCAACCTTAAAATGTTCTTCACACTAAAACGTGTTTTTTTAAAAACTGTTCACTGAAAGGTTCTTTGGGGAACCAAAAAATGGTTCTTCTGTAGCATTCCTGTGAAAATCCCCTTTTTGGAACCTTTGTACATTGATAAATCTACCTGTCCAATTTGATGCCAGAAAAAAAAAAAAACACCATTAACCTGGCAGCCAGAACTTAGTGTAAAACAATACAGTGATGATATACCATTAAATGATATAATGTCAATACCAACATTGAGCTATTAAAATGTTTGCTACTGTAAAATGTTCTAATACCATAATGGAAGATTACATGTTGTCTTTAAGATCATAAAAACGGAAGAACTGTGGCTAATAATAACATTAAGACAGAACCAGTGTCACCCACACAAATGCAAAACACTATCAGAGTAACACACAAAATAATACAATTATCACACAAGCAAAAAATGCTGGAATAGTGAATATCAGCATGACAAAGCCATACTGATATTCAGTACATTGGATGATTATGAGGATGCAATTATTTTTCTTTAAATAAGAAGTAAATATTAACATTTCACACAGAATTTGGCCAGTTATGTTTTTACATGCCAAATGCATGTTGGAACCCTCAGCAAACTGAGGTGCACCAGTTCTGTTATATAAAATACCAGCACTCTTGACATGTTCGACCAATCCAGATTAAAGGAGTGGAAAGTCTAAACAAATGTGATGGATTGCATGCAGTGAATTTGGCCATTAATCTTCATAATAATGAGATTCATACATTGTGCCATTAAAGTCTACAGCATTGTACTTTTTTCTGTAAATAATAAGGTGTGTGTTTATTGTATTGCCAAACTGAACACATTTTTCCTCTACATAATGCAATTCATACTTTTATACAATAAAAGATACACGATTTTAAAAGTGTATGTAAATGCATATTCTTTTAAATTATAGGGTAGCCTAATAGACTTTTAATTTGACAGTAAATGCTGTTGTCTTTAAAAGCTAATATTTCTACGTTATGTGGTGGTAAAGTAAGCAATTAACAGGTTTTTGCAGTAGCATTTCCCCCCCAATGTAGAAACTCCTGCTTTTGAGGCTGAAAGCGACGGCGGAATCATCATCATCATCATCATCATCATCATCATTCACATTCATTCATCGCGCTCAATGCATCAAAAGCAGCTCATCATGAGATATGATGAGTCCTCGTTTGCAGGTCAGAGGATGATGAACATGATATAGCTAATACATCTGTCACAGAGCAGGTCAATAGATGCATTGGATGAGAGCTCATCAAAGAGGAGATGCCAGCTCTCATATGATCTGACCACCCTATACACCAAGCAAAAGCCCAATGCACGCGCATCAGCAAACAACCGGCTCATTATTCCCGAACGGTTCCTACTTACAGGGGCTGTTGTGGGAGAAGCGTGCTCTCCTGGGCGAGTAGGATTCGTTCAGATCCAGTTCATACGCGGAGGCGATGAGCACGGCGAGCAGCAAAAGTCCGGTCCTTGGCGGCATCTCTCACTAAATGACACTGGGGGCTTCTATGAAGGGCGATAAAAGAGGATTTCCTTTAGGTGTTGCGCGGTGTGCGGTTGAGGAAATGCGTGTGATGTGGGCAGTATCATGAAGGCTCCGTCTGTCTGTCCGGCTGATCTCTTCAGCAGTTTCTTCTTCCAGCCGCGTGCATGACAGGAGCGCAGGTCGCGCTTTATATGTGCCCGAACATCACGAGCTCGCCGCTCAGCCCAATCACATCACAGCAGGCGCTCTTACACAGCCAAAGCTCAAACTTTCATTCATTGATCCGTAGCATTTAAATGGGCTTCTCGTATGGCTTAAAGTTTGCTGTTCCTTTTGACTTGGGAAAGGTGATTGAGGAAAACGCTCACATCCTCGCGCACTGTTGTTATATACAAATAGACTTCAAAGAGACAGACCTGAGCTTGTCTCATATATAACAGAGCTTATGTGTGATTTAACTCAACTTTACCCTACTGAAAAAATAAAGAAATGCTGCTCTCCCATTGCAAAACCCATCTAAAACCAGCAAACAGACAACAGACTAGTAGGTTATATTGTGCAACTTTATCATATGCTTCTAAACACAGCAACTATGTTCCATACAACCAAGAAAAGAAAAAAAAAGTCTTAGGTTTGCTGGTTTTGGCTCGTTTATCATGCCAGCAAGCCCAAAAGTGACCAAACAGCAACGAAACAGCGTCTGGCACATCCTCTTAATGTATCAAAAAGAGAGTTAAAATTAAGATTTTAATGAGTAAAATTGCCCATTAGATAACATGGCATCCATAACCCCCTTCCTGTTAGTGTGTAATGCAAGTCTAAATCTCATTACTCGCTTTGAACAATGAGAGCTTGTTTTTCTTTATCTTTTTGTTTCATTCAGTAATCCATCTAGCCTATTATATTTCAACTGTCTACACAAGCTTTGGCACTGTGTGATTACCAGGATCGCGTTTTAGTCAAATGTATTGCGTTCTTTGTTTTTCTTAACTGTCTTTGAGAAATAACATTTGAAGTTATTCAAATGACTCGCATTTTTATCGCTTTGGCATTTTGATGGACCCTCTATACTATAATGGCGCTATTGTCGGTGAAGCAGGCGGAATTGTCTCTAGCTGAGAGATAAACTGCGTAGTTATTGACACAAATCGTGTGGCTCATGGAAACCATCATTGTTGACTTTACGCGTCTCGTAACTCGCGGACTCAAGCTCGCGCACGGCGCACGTGCAGAAGCGCACGCGTGATGTGACACTAAAGAGCGTGAAGACTCGCCCAATCAGCACAGTCATGGTTTAGTGAAAAAAAAAAAAAAAAAAAAAACCCCCGGCTCATTTTAAGCCTTGAAGGAAAATGAAAGAAACGTGTTTTATTCTGAACACCCTTTAATTAATCACTGGGGCTAGTTGACCCACTTTTCCCCCCACAATATTTAATTTGTGAATTTCTGTATAGACACACACCTTGATTTTTAACTACAATAAGCTATTAAACATTTCCACCTTAGTGCCAAGGAAAAAAAATTAAAAAAAAATTTTAGGACATGTTGACTTGTGTTTTGCTTGTTCATGTTGTGACTCTATAGGGTAAGCTGTCGATTAAACAGCATATTCAGGCATTTCAGCACTATTTAAAAAGCAATATTAGTATGAAACAAAACAGCAAATACAGACATTGTGCAAAATTATCAAACTTGTTTTGATACATTTGACCCTATTTTTAAAGTGACATAGTCGAGGTTCACTCTAAACTTTATTAACATCACCGGGCGGTTATTATACCAGCCCTCAACAAACATTCTTCATCTGCTGAGTAACGCAGACTGCATCTGAGCTCTTTTCCCATCTGTGCGTGTGGTACTTCCAGCAGGTGTTTCCAAGTGGAAACACCATCAATGGATAGTGAGTCATGAATGGATTTGTGCCTCACCCCCTACTTACAGATCACCACATCCTCTGCAATGCCATCAGATGATTCACAAGGTCTTATCTACTATTTTGCCTTGGCAAAACTGTTTGACAGGAGCACAGTGAAAGAGACCTCAGCCGCATCATTTATCAAATCACATCACTGCAATGTACTTCTTTAAAATGCACCAGTGGTCCTGATATATTCAGCCTTTAACTTTGTGGTTAGACAGTGATTGTACATGATGCAGCATTAACTTGCTATGAAACCCTAAACGCTTCATCAAGACTGAATGCACTTCTATTCTTACACTAATTTCCCCAGCAATGGTGAAAATGACAATAGGGGTTAAAGAATGGCAGGAAAAGTCAATCTCTTTTCACTCAGATTTAGCCAAAAACAGATGAGACTCGAAGTTCTGTAACTTGCCAATAAGAAGTTTTTAGATTGTAGTACTTTTTTCCATTACATTGCTGGGCTGTATTCCTCCCAAGCTTCTTTTGTCTAAAACAAGCTTTTTAAATGATGTTTTTAAAGCCTTTAGTGTTCAGTGGTTTGATTTGTAGATGTGTTTTAGGTCTCGAGTTTGATTTATTTGCGACAACTTTATTACAAATATATCGGTCTTCTCAACTTCTATTGGCCTGTTTCATTTGTCAAATATGCTGACAGCTTTAAAGTCCCCCTGCAGTCAATCATTGTATCCCTTAAAACTTATCTTTGATGCACCAAAATGACATATTTAAATGTTTTTTCCTTGAATTTCTTTTTGGCATGCCTTAAAGTAGCTTGAATGTAACTCTACACCCTTGCCTCATTTAGTACAAGCGGTTCTATGAATATGCAAATGAGCCCCGCCTCCACTCACTCACTCAGCTCAGAGATCCACTGGTTGACGATCACACGTTGATCTGATTGGTTACAAGGTAGTTTGTGACGTCAGAAACACCAGCGATTTCAAACTGTGTTTTTGAGACTGTCTTTGGTTCACTGCAGTTTTAAGGAGAAAATACTCAGCAATGCTGTCGACTTATGAACTTACACATGGTTTGTCTTAAAGCACACACCACATAGACATATAAACAACATTAAACGCTTGACTTTCACTACAGGTGGACAAGTTCAACACACAGCAGACAAAATCAAGCATATATCCTGTCTTCTCCAAGAAGGTTAATTCTTGTATTCTTTCAGGAATTTATTGCAAGTATACTGGTCTTTAGGCCAATAAACGGCAGTACGATGCAAAACTGTGATTGATTTCACCCCTATGCTAGTCTGTTATTAACTGAGCAACTAGAACATCAAAATTCATTAGATAATTTAGTTCTACAGCATTTTACATTATTCAACAAGGTGAAGAAAGCATTACAACAAACAGGATGGAGTATTGGGGCTTTTCCTTATCATCTATAGGGCCATTTTCCTGGGATGCGTTCCACTCCAAATTTTTATGTCCTTCACTCGCTAACTTCCCTCTGTCTCTGGACTAGGATGTGCGTCATTGCTTACGTTGCATGAGTGCCTACTACTGGTGGAACTCGTGCATTAGGTTTAAATGGAACACACTAAGCCCTTGATCACTTGGAATTCACTATTTAAACCCCTTTTTTGAACTTGTTTTATGCACCATTCTATATGCAAATATGTTGTTGGAGAAAATATATAAAGTCCTATAGGTATATGAGCTGTTGGAGAAATATAAAATTGCACAAAAAAAAAAAAAAAATTTTTTTCATCAATAATATAAACTTTGACTGTGAAAATAGGGTAGCTATTAGTACTATCCGATTCAATCTCAAAATAATTAAAGTGCCCCTATGGTGAAAACCAAGTTTTTAATGTTGTCTATGTGGTGTTTTTAAGACAAACCTTGTGCAAATTCATAAGTCAACAGCATTTTCTCCTTAAAACTGCAGTGAACCAAAGACAGTCTCAAAAACACGGATTGAAATCGCTGGTGTTTCTGACGTCACACACTACCTTGTAACCAATCAGGTCAACGAGCCGGCGGGCTTTAGCATCATTAACAGCGAACTAGCAGGGGAGTCTCGAGAGATGCCAGGCAATCCCGGTATATATTTTTGTTGATATGAAAAATCAGGAAGATTTAGCAATATTGCGGGTGTATGATGTATATTACGAAGTTATGATGAACTATATGCCTTTCTCCACTGACGGTCTAAGTTGTTTAAAGCGTTTCTGATGATTGTTAGAAGGCAGACTGAGATGGCGAACGGGAACATCGTTTGTGTAACATTAGCAACTCATTATTAGCTGTATGATAACATAGTCAAGCAAAAGGCTAATCATATTAATTACCGTTATGTGTCCGATGTTGTAAAGAGCGATACCATTGTGCAGCGTTTACCGTAAGTTGGCTGAGTGAAACTCTGAGCTGGTGCGAGTGAGTGGAGGCGGGGCTAATAAGCATATTCATGAATCCGCATGAAGCAAGGGTTGTAAAGTTGCATTCAAGCTATTTTAAGGCATGAAGGTTTTTTTTCATTTAAAAACGTTTAAATGTAATTTTGGTGATCAAAGATGAGTTTTAAGGCATAAAATGATTGACTGCAGGGGGACTTTAATATATCATAGTTAAGAACGATCTGCTGTGACGTCACAATCAAGTTGAATTGTGGGATATATAGAGCTGCTTGAAGTGTACATATTGAGTAGACTCGCTCCCTCGATCAAAATCAAGGGGACGAGGGCCTGTCCATATAAACTTTCCTCGCCCACTTGACAAAGTGGAACGCACTTGGGATGGTGGCAGGGATTCCCCCGAGGGGAAGTGCTTAGGGAAGTTCTCGAGTGTATGTCTAAAAGCAGTGTAACACACCCCAGGTTGCATTCACACTGCCAGTGGGAACTCTGAAGTGACATGAGCTGGCTGAAAGCGACGTAACTTAAGCCAAGGGGGTAATCCATCAACCGGAAGTTGAAGCCGGCCGGGTGCCGCCATCTTGTAGCAGAACTTCACTTGCGTTAGCATTTCCATTGACTCCCATTCATTTTGGCGTCACTTTGACAGCGAATAACTTTACATCTGAGGCGTTTAAAGACTCCATTTGTCCATTATTTATTTCTAAAGAAACACGACAATGTATAAAGGGGTCCTTCACCTTCTATGTTACATTATGGCCCCGTAGAAACAGATTTTGTAAAAATTGGCTAACGATTGCGTCATAACCACTCGACTCTCTGTCGCGCTGTACAGAAATTACCGTACAGACAGGAGGAGAAGCTCGCAGGCAATCGGGGGGACGTCCCGTCAAGGGAGAAG